GAGAGAGAGGGGAGGGTCCGGATCTCTGGGGGGTAGATCGTTCCATAGGGCCCGGGCAGCTATAGAGAAGGCCCTCCCCCGAGGAGCCGCCAGACGACATTGTCTAGTTGACGGCACCCGGAGAAGGCCCATCCTGTGAGATCTTATCGGACGCTGGGAGGTATGGGGCAGAAGACGGTCTCGTAGATATCCAGGTCCTAAGCCATGTAGGGCTTTAAAGGTGATAACCAGCACCTTGAAGCGCGTTCGGAGACCGATCGGGAACCAGTGCAGCTCGCGGAAGATGGGTGTAATATGGGTGTATCTTGGTACACCCAATATCGCTTGCGCGGCTGCATTCTGGACCAGTTGTAGTCTCTGAACACTTTTCAGGGGGAGCCCGATGTAGAGCGCCCCAGGGCCTTCAGTTTGACACCCCCTGCTCTAGACCAAATTGGCTCCCTTCTTTCACAATTCGGAGCGGAGTTCCCATGGCTAAGGGAGGGAAGACACACCCTCACTTACTTGCAGCTTCCGGAGAAAACTTTCCAGAGCTGGTTTTCCCACGGAGGTGATCTTGGTGCGGTCCAGCAAGACAGCCGCGTCGGGTTTCCCGTCCATCCCCGTGGTGTGGTGCAGGGACACCAGGCCCTCGCCAGCCTCCAGCAGCACTCTTAAAATCACAAAGCGGGCTTGCATGTGGGCCTGGGGGAGAAATGAGGGGATGTCAGGAGGGGAAACAGGAGTCTAGAAAGTAGAATCGGCGTGCTATTTCCAAGAGAGCCAAGCAAAATTCCAGGTTTTCTTTAGGAGTTCAATGTTGCCAATCAACTCCCAGAATTCACCAGCCAGCTTGCTTTGAGATGGACTTCAACTCCCAGAATTCCCCAGTCAGCATGGTTTAAGATGGGTGGAGTTTAACTCCCAGAATTCCTCAGCCAGCAGACTTTTAGATGGGTGGACTTCAATTCCCAGAATTCCCTGTTCAACATGCTTTTAACGTGGATGTACTTCCACTCCCAGAATTCCTCAGCCAGTACAGGCAGGGGAAGGAGGAATAATTATAACTCAGTAAATGTGTGTGTGGAAATAAGCTCCCAGAATTCTCTAGCCAGCATGCTTTAAGATGGGTAACTTCAATTCCCAGAATTCCCTAGCCAGCAAATTTAAGATGGACTTCAACTCCCAGAATTCCCCAGTCAGCAGGCTTTAAGATGGGTGGAGTTCAACTCCCAGAATTCCCCAACCAGCATGGTTTTAACGTGGGTGGACTTCAACTCCCAAGATTCCCCCACCAGCAGACTTTTAGAGGGGTGGACTTCAACTCCCAGAATTCCCCAATCAGCAAGCTTTAAGATGGGTGAACTTTGACTCCCAGAACTCTCCAGCCTGTAAGGGCAGGGGAAGGAAGAATAATCATAACTCAGTAAATGGTAAAGCCAACGTTGAACAAAATGTCAATAGAAATAATTATATATAATAAGTTAAAAAAAAACAATATAAACCAAAATGCAACTTATCGTATTGTCAATAATTTAGTAAGTGTCCTAGGAACATGGATATATTTTGTGCTTACTTTGTGCCATTATGTTTCACTCATTTATAAATAAATATAAGAGTGATATTATTCAATCCAGAAACACCTTGGTGCTTTCGGTTTGGGTGCAAAAATAATACTCACAAATAAAGAAAACATAAAGTTAATAAAAAACTATTATTAGTGAAGGTTTTTGAGGGTTAGTTAAGGCTTCCCCAGCTAGGCTGGCCAGGGAATTCTGGGAGTTGAAGCCCACTTATCTTCAAGCTGCAAAGGTTGAGAAAACTGCATTACATTATTATCATTATCATCATCATCATCATGTAGTAATAATAAAGCCAATATTTCTGTCTTTTGCAAATGGGGCATAATGAAACACCAAGGAAATACAGTTCAAAAATTAGACCCCTTACCTGGCGCCAGCTACCAGATTCAGGGGTATAGAATTCCAGAGCCAGAAGTCCTGCCCGCACCATATTTAGCCAATTAATATAGATCACATTTTCAGCATCTTCCCCTTTCAGTTCAAAGATCCTGACAAAGCCAAAAACAAAATGAACACTCCAGTTAAGAGAGGAAAAAATATGATAAATGCAAAGATATTTCTATTTTATCTTATTTTTTTGAAATCAATAAAAACTTCCCCCAAGTTATTATTTTCATTCCATATAACTATCATTCATAATCCTTATTACTTTTATATAAGATGCTTATTGTTATTGCTTTTCCTGCTAATTACTTTGTTATTGCTATAGTACGGTTATATAGGCTAACAATTTGTAAGATTTAGTACTTCAGTGGTTTTAAAATTCTTTTGGCCTGTTTCCACAAAGGGTGGGAAATTAACACTGCTGGATGATATTCAGTCAACATTCAACTAGGGAAGATATTATGGATAAAAGGTAAAGGTTCCTCCCTCATGTAGGTGCTAGTCATTCCTGACTCTAGGGGGCGATGCTTATCTCCTTTTCAAAGCCGAAGAGCCAGTGCTGTCCAAAGACGTCTCCAGGGTCATGTGGCCGGCATGACTAAATGCCGAAGGCGGATGGAACGCTTCTACCTTCCCATCAAAGGTGGTTCCTATTTTTCTACTTGCATTTTTTACGTGCTTTTGAACTGCTAGGTTGGCAGAAGCTGGGACAAGTCACGGGAGCTCACTCTGTTACATGACGCTAGGGGTTCGAACCGCCGCCCTTTCTGATCGACAAGCTTAGCTTCTTAGCCACTGAGCCACTGTGTCCCTTATATTATAGGTACGGGTAGTATATTTAATGACTCTTCAGAGCTACAAGAGCACTGGAAAAAGTGACAGATGACCATTTTTCACACTTACGACTGTTGCAGCATGCGACCAAAATGGAGACCCTTGGCAACTGACACATATTTAGGGCAATTCTAGTGTCCTGTGGTCATGTGACCCGCTTTTACGATCTTCTAACCGGCAGAGTCGATGGGGAATCCAGATTCACTTAACAGCTGTGTTACTAACTTAAGAACTGCAGTGATTCACTTAACAACTGTGGCAAGAAAGGTCGTAAAACGGAAGCAAAAACTCACACAACTAATGTCTCACTTAACCACAGAGGGTTTGGGCTCGACGGTGGTCGTAGGTTGAAACTACCCAATCTGCCTCTTTCTGGGCTGCAATTCAGATTTCCCGCAGCTAAGATTTCCCGCACCTCGTTCTCCCTCCTCCCCCAAGCCCGTCACGGCTCACCGGAGAACATCCTTGTTCAAGCAGAGGTAGAGACCCACGCATTCTGCCCGGCACTCTTCGTAACTCGAGGCCACGCTGGAGAATTTGCTGTCCCAAGTCTCGCCCCCTTGGTACCAACTCCGAATCTGGACGGGGTTGGGGTGAGCAGAGAACATCATGATGGAAGGTTCATCCGTTATTCTAAGTCACTGTCCCCCCAAAACTTTGTTCTTCCTAAGCCAAAACCAATACAGGTAGCCCTGGGCTTCCGGTTCATTTAGTGACTGTTCCAAGTTACGACGGAGCTGAAACAAGCGGCCGAGGACCGTTTTTTCACACTGATGGCTGTCGCAACACCTCCCTGGTTATGGGATCAAAATTTGGACGCTTGGCAACTAATGTTTTGACCGAGGCTTCCCAAGAACCTGAAGCCAACTCCTGGTCCCAACAAAAAAACCCTTTTGTTAATTGACTGTGAATTCTGCTCCTTCACCTCCAGCAAAGTCTTTCAAGGGAGGATTTACGGTCACAGACCTTATCTGGCTTGGAGAGCTGCCAGGCCCAGATCTGCAAAACTTGGCCAGGAGTCTCGGAGAGTCATGAACCAATTAAGCGAATTAATGGTGTCCTGCAAACTCCACTCCCCTTTCGCTCCTCTTTTATTTCCTCTGGGAGGGGCCATTCACCGTCCACGTATAGCCTTACTCCCAAGTCTCCCCTTGTTCCTTAGCTGTTCCCTTTATCTGGCAACTCTGCGCATGTGCACACTGGGAACAGGCTCCAGCTGTTCGTCTGCCCCACTGATGTCTGACTCTGAAGGCAGCTGATAACTGTCAGACGGCCTTGATCTCATCTCTGCCTCCAACACAGAGCCCTCCTCAGAGCCTTCCCCAGATTCCAGGACTGGCCCAGGTTCCTCCCCAACCCTCCTCATTGTCTGAATCCGCTGCCAGCTCTGCTGGCCGCTGGCGGGCCATAGCTGATTCGTACTTATTGTCCCAGTCACGCGATCGCCTTTTGCGAACTAGCCAGGACAGATGTGATATCCACTTAAACCCCTCTGTCCATCCTCACCAATTCTCCCGTCTCCGGGTTGATCACGGCAGACTTGTCAAAGTTGAAAGCCCCCGAATCGTCCTACGTAGGAAGAGAGGGAGGGAAAAAAGCTGTTGAAATCCCAAGTCCCGTGCAAAATTAATGTCGAAGCAATATTGTCGCAGAAAAAAATAACTGGGAAATGGAGGACCCGCAGAGATTTACAGATGTGGCATCTAAACACCTGGAAGATATCCAGCCATGAAGCTAAAAATACTAGAAAAGCAAATGGCGGCAGGTTTTGGGTCTGGCTAGTCTAAAGAAAAGAATTAGGGATGACATGATCTTAGTATTCCAGTATTGGAGTGGCTGCCCCAAAGAAGAGGGGATCAACCTATTCTCCAAAGCACCAGAAAGCAGGACGAGAAACAATGGATGGAGACTAATCAAGGAGAGAAGCAACATGGAATTAAGGAGAAACTTCATAACAGTGAGGACAATTAATCAGTGGAACTGCTTGCCACCAGAAGTTGTAGGTGCTCCATCACTGGAGGTTTTTAAGAAAAGATTGGACAGTCATTTGTCTTGAGATGGTATAGGTTCTCTTGCTTGAGCAGGGGGCTGGACTAGAAGACCTCCAAGGTCCCTTCCAGCTCTATTCTATTCTTCTTTCCCCTTATTCTATTCTATTCTTCTTTCTCCTTATTCTATTCTATTCTTTCCTCTTATTCTATTCTTCTTTCTCCTTATTCTATTCTTCTTTCCTCTTATTCTATTCTTCTTTCCTCTTATTCTATTCTATTCTTCTTTCCCCTTATTCTATTCTATTCTTCTTTCTCCTTATTCTATTCTATTTTTTTCCTCTTATTCTATTCCATTCTTCTTTCCTCTTATTCTATTCTACTTTCCTCTTATTCTATTCTTCTTTCCTCTTATTCTATTCTTCTTTCCTCTTATTCTATTCTTCTTTCCTCTTATTCTATTCTTCTTTCCCCTTATTGTATTCTATTCTTCTTTCCTCTTATTCTATTCTTCTTTCTCCTTATTCTATTCTATTCTTCTTTCCTCTTATTCTATTCTATTCTTCTTTCCTCTTATTCTATTCTATTCTATTCTTCTTTCCCCTTATTCTATTCTTCTTTCCTCTTATTCTATTCTATTCTTCTTTCCTCTTATTCTATTCTATTCCATTCTTCTTTCCCCTTATTCTATTCTTCTTTCCTCTTATTCTATTCTATTCTTCTTTCCCATTATTCTATTCTATTCCATTCTTCTTTCCCCTTATTCTATTCTTC